TGGTAATTGTATTTGTTTTTCCTTGTTGGTTTCAGGGTATAATGATAATCTAGGAATCAGATATCCAGGCCAGGGCCAGCTAATGAATGGCGCTTCCTTTGTGCCACATGAACAGCAGCTGGTTAGCAATGCTCCCCAATCACAAAGCACAAGAAATGATAACAATGTTGTTGGGCTTGCTCTTGGTCCTCCACAATCATCTACCTCAGGTTTCCAAAATGTTGGCTCCTCTGGACAGCCATCTAATATCAATCCCTTTGATGATTGGTCACACAACAGGGACAATGGAGTTGATGAGTACTTTGCAGAGGAAGAGATTCGCATCAGAAGTCATGAAATGCTTGAGAATGAAGATATGCAGCACATGCTCCGGTTCTTCAGTATGGGTGGCCATGCCTCTATGAATATGCCTGAAGATGCGTATGCATTCCCACCTTACGTGGCATCTCCAATGCCAAACTTTGATGAAGATCGCTCACGTCCTGGCAAAGCTGTTGTTGGATGGCTGAAGATTAAGGCAGCAATGAGGTGGGGATTCTTTATAAGGAAGAAAGCAGCTGAGAGACGGGCACAGCTTGTTGAGTTAGAGGAAGAGGAATAGTAGTCTGCTTTATTTTTTGTGGGGGACAACCCTCTCCCTGGATGACTTCTTGTTAGGATGCCACTAGAACTCCTTTAATGCCTGCCCACGCTTGAGGTTATGATCGTAGAAATTACTGGCTTCAGACCCCCTGACGACCTCTAATCAGGTATTGGGAATATCTTCTTGTACAGTTTCCTGTACAGAGTTGTTTCTTTAGTTTTCTTTCCTAGCAATCTCCTCCTGTACTACCCCTTTTCCCATTGGTTTGTCTATGATATCTGCATTCGGTTCGACGTATAATTAACTTCTAAATGTATGGTCCCTTCCCTCTTGACTTGGTAGAAGTGAAATTCCAGATACATTGGGTGTGACTTTCCTCGAACCATGAAATTCCAATTAATTGTTGTATGAGAATTGCCGGTTTCTTTTCAGTGTGCCTATCTGTTGGGTAAAATTATTTGATGTTTCGACGGAATGGATGAGATCTACAGCCGTCAGTTATGGGTTTTTATTTGAAGAAGCAAAATTCGTCCTATATGGTGTCATGTGAGCCCTTCTTTTTTCTTTTTCTTTTTAAATAATTTTTTTAAATTTTTTTTAAGGTTATATTTGATGATTGGCTAACAATTGAGACGGCCTTCCCCGTCACCCATTTCACCATCGATAAATCTTCAAGTTAATTCGCTATTTATTTAAAATTTATTAAAAATTTTAATAATTTTTATAATATAATAATATAATAAGATGAATAGAATTTTTATTGGGTTGTATTTCTTCTTTATGGTTAAAAATATAATATTAAAAAT